CGAGTGAATAAATTCAAGAAATTCTCAGTTCAGATTGTTTTAAAAAATAAGCTGCGCTTCTAACGCTTCAGAAACCAGCATAGTAATCAGAAATTTAAAATTCAATATTTGAACCTTCAATCAAACTGAATGAAGCAACGTCGAGGGGAGAATATTAAAAAATAATTGCTTCCGTAAATAGCGTTTAGCACAGGAGACCTTAACAATGGTTGTTCAATGAAAAACTCGTTTAACGAAATATTCCAGCTTCCAACGAGAAACTAGCAAATCTACCTCACAACAGAGACCATCAAAATAATCATTGAAACAATCGTCGCGATAATCATCGAAACGAATCTATCCTAACCGAAGATCCATCTTACATCGAAAACAACGTTGACGTTTCAACCGTCAGCGTTAGGTAGTCGGCTCGCGTCGAAAAAAGGGGCGACATTGTTTCCAGAGTTGTTTATTCGGTCGCCGCATTGTCGTCTAGACATAATGCCCGCTTGAATCGCCGAAGATACGTCTCCGCGCGCGGATTCTCCTCGATTCTTCCTCTTCCCGTCGCCTTTGTGCGGTCGGCCGCAGAATGCGATTCAACGAGCGCATCCCGGTCCGTTCGCCGTGGATTTCCATGGCACTTGAGCGTCACGCGAGCCTCATAAGTTATCGTTTTCAGTGAACAATGGCCTTTCTCTCTGTTCTTCCCTTTTCTTTCCGCCGGTCGCGTTTATCGACCGGCATTTTTTTCCCCTCCCCGGCCGGCAGCGATTCGACGCGATGCGGCGCGCGTTAACGAGAAAGACAGCGCATTCGGCGAAAGAAATTCCGTCAGGTCGGGAAGTCGTTGCCGGAAGAAGGGGCGGGCGCGCGGGGGGGAAGACAGGAAACGAAACAACGTTCCAGTGGTTCGTTCCTGACCCAGTTCCGCCGGTCCTGTCGGGCTTTTGTTCGTTGCCCTTCGCCGAACCGCTCGCTCATCGAGCCAACGAGTGACCGGGAACCTGGAGACAGCGCGGCTGTAAACACGAGACCCCGTGTATTTTCTACTATTTACTGTACATCGAGATTTGGCTTCAGCTGAGCGTTGAATTGTTTATACAGGGCTCGGCTGTTTGGCCGAGCGACCGCCGGTTCTCTCTGTTTAAATGCGCTTTCACCGGAAATCCTTTTCTTCGATCGTTCCTGTGATCTTGCTCTTTAATCGATGCCCCGCAGGATTTCGTTGCTGGGCGTGTTTGCTCTTTGTTTAAATATTACTTCGTCGCACGGGTATTTTAGAAGATGGCTTTTGAAACGGTGCGTTTGAAAGTGTTGAATTTTGAAATGTGACCACCGAATGTGTAATGCGGAGTCGGTGAATGTTTTTTGGATCTTTCAATGTTTACTTTTGGTATCGAGTTTAGTGAAATAAGAATTGTTTGTAATCGAACGAAGGAAAATTCAGTTTTCTGCAGTAGATATTTTTTGCGGGATATCCTAGAGGCCGTCTCGCGTGGTCGGACATTCCCGCAACTATTAAAACTCCGAGCAATCGGTCTCCCCGAATTAAGTAATACGATCAATCACTCGACAGTCCCGAGGGTCGCGTTCCCCGTATCAATCATCCCCGGAACAAATCATCTTCCTGTGAAACTTATTTAAGCGGCGAGCGGGGGGAGAGGTATCGGTTCCCCGGCTTCTAGTATTACATCGATCTCGGGATTTCGACGTGGAAGATGGTGAACGGGTTGCTTCGATGCCTCGGGGTCGGATTAGGCGAATGTACGATTGACAAAGGGAGGTGGACAAGGAAATAAGTAGACGGGCAGATGTATAGACCAATAGATAAGTAGATTTATAGATAGACCCATTGATGGATACATCCATAGATAGGTAAATCCATAGATAAATAAATCCATCGGCAGATAAATGCGTAAATGTATAAACCCATTGATAGATAGATCCACAAATAGATAAATCCATCGATAGATAAATCCATAAATATATAAATCCATATATAGACAGATAAATAGACAAACACACAGATCCACAGATAGATAAACCCATTGACACATAGATCCACAGGCACACAAATAAATAGACACATCGATAGATAACACAAAAAAAACACGCAAAGGAATAATAGATAACCAAACAGATACGCAGATAGATAAATAGATAGATAGAGAGTTACATAGACACCCAGGTAAATAGAAAGATAGATATAAAGGCAGGTAGACAAGGTCGGCCCTCGAAAGATGGACACAGGAAGGGTGGTCGTGTAACAATGTCAGTCTATCCGGGTTTGTTCTGCCCTACTTGGTCCTTACGGCGGCTTTTGTTCACCGAGTCGCGCGGCCCTCTTCGGATCAGATCAGATTACCGGCCACGAGGCGCTTTACCCGAGGAAATGCGGGTTTCCATCGCACCGAATTGGCGACGTAAGGGGATTGGAAGTTGCCCGAAGGGAGGGAAGAACCCTGGCCACGAATACGTGAGATCTACCCGGCTAACCCTTTCCTTCTCCGCTGGACACGTCTCCTCTCTCCTCCTCGAATGTCCCTTTCCTCTCGGAGAAGGAGACCTTTCTCGTTCGGCGCTGTCTCTGTCAAGCTTCGCTTCTCTTCCCTGTCTTCCTCTCTCTCACTCTGTCTCTCG